GTGAACATTGCCCATTCCTTTAGCCATCCATGACCAACTTTATGATATTATCACTCGGGAAATAGGATAGAGGGTACATAAAATCTCTGACTTGTTTTGTTGTTGAAAACTGTAGAGTTGGAACTGAGCCACAGGTGGTCAATCCTACAGCAAGTTTTAAGGCAGTAAATCACACAGGAGAAGACCATCTTTCTTCCTTGGTGTGAAGGTAGTCAAAGAACTAGTATGCTAAACAAAGGGGTCAAATCCACCAAAGTCTCCTTGGAAGAAAAATAAGGCAGTCTATTTCCATAAAGGGTGCAGTCTCAGAAACATTATAGCGAGTTATACTATGTCCTACAGGGTCCTTCAGATGAGATTGACTAAACAGCAGTTGGGTTTGGGGACTAGGAAGGACAGGTATTTCTTATTCTCATACAAGCAAAATCCAGAGATAAGCAATCAGTAGTATATCCAAAACCATCAAAAACCCAGACTCCTCCTCTTGTTCAATATCCTAAACTTGTGGCTTCCACTTCATGGTCCAAAGTGGCTGCTTAAAGTCAAGCTATCACAGCTATATTCCAGTCGCCATGAAGGAAGAAAGCGAGGCAAAGAGAATCATCACACTGACTCCAACTCACACACTTACACATATACACTAACTTCAACAACACTGGACAGTCACAATGAGCCACATGGTCCTTCCTACATGTTATGTTACTATGTGCCCTTGAGTGAAGTAAGACTCATAGTGATCCTATGAACAACAGATCCGAACCCTGTCCCATCTTGCACCACATTCATCAGGTCTGACATACTTGAGCCCATTATTGACGACACTGCATCATTCCGTCTCTTTGAGAGTCGTTTTTCTCTTTAGCTCGCCTTCTACCTTTCCTAGCATAATGTCTAGAGAACTGTAATCTTTATGTCTGAGTTTATGTACCAACCTGAAAATAGATGTTTCTATTTCTAAAACCAGGTTTGTATATGAGAGATAACTAATTAATTAAATGTAAAGAATTCTTCCAAATTGTCCTCATCAGTTCTCCCCACACTAATAAAAATAGCATACAATCATATACACAAAGCACATTGCTTAATTTGTTTTGGATTCGTTTTGACTTTTGCTTTCCATCTCTTCTTCAATCAATGCAGGGCTGAGGAGTATCCACACAAATTAATATTCATAAAGATGCTAAAACAGGGGAGATTTTTGTCATGCTTTAAGCCTACTGTTTATAAGCTCGATATTGTACTAGTATTGAATACCTCATATGACACCAGCTTTGTTTGCTTTAAGAGCAATATTAAATAGACTAAAATTCACCGTTGTGTTGTAGAAACTGACTTATAGCTAACACTCTGACAGGTTTCTGAGGCTGTAAATCATACTAGAGGAGGATTTCCATCTTTCTTCTGTGGAGCTGCTGGTGAATTTGAGCCATCAGAGTGGTAAAGCCTTTGAATTAGCATTGTAATTCCATTGAGATTAGAGTATCAGAGCTCTCTTTCATATTAATCACTACCCCTCTAGAGACCTGAAGAGCAATGATCAGTCTAGAGACTAAGGTGTGTCTGATTTAGGCCATGATCCTCCTAACTACTTTTATGCATAAGAAAGCTTGACAGTGACTAAGGATGAGAGAAGGATAAGTGATGCCATAGAGCTGTGGTGCTGGAGAAGAGTATTGAATATACTTTGGACTACTAAGAGAACAAAGAGGTCCATCCTGGAGAGGGTCAATTCAAGCTGCTCCTTGGAAGCTAGGATTTTGAAACTCTGTCTGACACCACACTTTGGGCATGTTGCAAGGAGGGAACAGTCCTTGGAGAGGGACATCATGCTGGGGAGGGTGGAGGGACAGCACAAAACAAGATCCTTGATGAGATGGATTGATTCAGTGACTGGGGCAATAGGATA